CTAATTTAAAAAAATTTTTGTGGTGACAGGGTCTCACTATGTTGTCCAGGCTGTTTTCTAACTCCTGCCCTCAAGCGATTCTCCCGCCTCAGCCTCCCGAGTGCTAGAATTACAGACGTGAGCCACTGTGCCCGGCCATACTTACTTATTTTCCAAACAGCTACTGTATGGCATGTTCAGAACATTAGAAGAAGTAGAAAACATTGGAGTAATTTGCATTTATCTGGGAAGTGAAAAACACAGGTTTAAAATTATGGTAGAAGTGGCATATGAGAGTAAACATTTTTATGGAACTTTACTGTTTATAAAGTGTTTCCATGTTCATGAGCTGAATAGGGCAAGCATTTTATCTCCACTTTACAGATGAGGAAACCTGCTCAGAGTCAAATAACTAATCAGGAGCAGAACTGGCACCAAACACCTCTCTTCTGTTGTTCTCTGCTGCTTTTCCAGTTTGGACAGTGTGTATGTGTGGTAGGGGGTGGTGTGAATGAGGGAGGAAAGTATGTTTGAACCGAGCCTTGAAGGAAATCATGTCCAAGTTTAGAGGCCAGCACACCTTGGCGAAAGCATTGTCAGACATCTTCTGACTGTTCCCAAGGCCCACCCTGTTACCCATTTTACCTGCCTCCCTGGGAGCCTCGCCCTGCTGGTGTGTAATAGGGTGAGTTGTCTGTCGTGCATATTACTGGGTATTTCACATACTCTTGGCCTTGTATTTGTTTTTGAAGCCTACCCGCAAGGCCACATCAAAGTGGCTGACTGTAAACAAGCAGGGCGGGCAAGTTGGAGTGGGGGTTCTTTATACAAGGAAGAGTCTTGCTGGTTAGGAAACAGTGGAGCGTAGCTGTGAACATGAGACTGTTAAAACGACAGGAACAGGGCACAGCTGTGATTCCTTGTCTGTGTTCCATGCGTGCACTTCTGTTAGATCATTAGGGCTCTTAGCTTAAGACCTGGTGTGTAGGAAGTGCTCAGTATTGGTTCAATGCTGTATTCGCTGCTTTTTGAAAAGATACAGAATTTTCCCTCTCTTAATCTACCCTTCTTTAATGTGAAAATACTTTCCTTTTTTTTTTTTTTTTTTTTTTATTTTGTTTTTTTTTTTTTTTTTTTTTTTTTTTTTTTTCCGAGATGGACTCTCACCCTATAGCCCAGGTTGGAGTACAGTGGCGTGATCTTGGTTCACTGCAACCTCTGCCTCCCCGGTCCCTATTCAAACAGTTCTTCTACCTCAGCCTCCCGAGTAGCTGGGATTACAGGCATGAGCCACCATGCCCAGCTAATTTTTGTATTTTTTAGTAGAGATGGAGTTTCACCATGTTGTCCAGTCTGGTCTTGAACTCCTGACCTCATGATCTGCCTGCCTCGGCCTCCCAAAGTGCTGGGATTACAGGCGTGAGCCACTGCACCCAGCTGTGAAAATACTTTTCAAATAAATATCAAGTCACTCTCAGCATTTACCCTTGGAATATTGTGAATGCAAAGATTAGTTAGGTCTTCCTTTGATCTAATTTGATTTTATTATTCTTGGGTTAGTAAAATTTGGTTACTGTGGTTACATTTCAGTGATGTTCACTTCAAGGCTCTTCATATGAAGGATCAAGATAAAAACAACTAAACTTAATAATTGACCAATTAACATTTTAAAGGACTCTAAAGGTCACAGCCTAGGTGACTGGTTAATTTACTCAGTTTCAAACCTCTCTTCTACTTCTTGGTGTGCTTCAGTACATTCAAGTCTTTCTGTCCAGGATTATAGCTCTCTTTTTCCCTTCTGCTCCTCTTGTCATGTGTGGGTTTGGTGAGCCAGTGTCTGTAATGCGACTTTATTCAATACTGGAGTTGTACAAAGCTGGGGCCCAGTGGTACCAGGAACACTAAGATGAGTAAGAGGCTTCCTCTCCTGAGTCGTCAGCTGGTGGGGATCCATGATGGGGGCAATCTGGTAAAATTGGTGTGTAGAGAGGTGGGCCTTGAAGGATCAGAGTGGGGAGGAAGTTGACTAGATGCCCGTTGCTGTTCTCAGCACTTCATGCATATAGTTTTTTTCGTTTCATTCTTCTGAACCATTTAAGGTACATTCTGTTGTTTTTTGCATTTTATACAGAAGAAATTGACACAAAGAGAAGTTAAGTAACTTGTCCAAGAGCACTCAGCTCATAAATGATCCTGCCTTGATTCCAACTCAGGCGATCTAGTTGCGGAGTCTGAACAGTGAATGGCTGAATGGAATTTGGACCAATGAAGATTAAGGGGAAGCCACAGTGATCAAATATTAACATGGAGGTAGACAAATTGATTTAGGGCCATTTTGCTGAGGCTTTGGAATCCTATACCTGAAGGGGATAATTGTAATATATGACAGAACTGATATTTGTATAGGCTTTATGGGTCCACATTGCCACCACCTCTGCTGATTGATTTGGTGAAACGTTGTGTCTGTTGTTCAGTGTGCAGGGATAAGGTTGGGAAGCTTGTTGAGAAGAGGAGTCCCATGGTCTGTTCCCTCACCTATGTCTTTAAGCTGTCCTGAGGTTTTGGCCTGCATTCCCTGAACATGGTTAAAGCTTAGCCTCTGCTGCTTCTGTCCCCTGCCCATGCTCTTTCCCTGCCCTACAGTTATTCTCTGGAAATAAGTTTCTTGGAGTCTCCCTGTTTCTGCCTTTTCACCTCACTGTCCACCTCTAACCTGCCCTCTATCATCCCACTAGAGCTGTTCTCCCTGAGGAGACAGTACCTGGCTCACTGCTTAATTTGACTGGGACTTTTCAGGCTTATAGCATCCAGTTCGTTGTCAACCAGGGGTGATTTTTGCCCCCTAGGGGCTACCTGGCAGCGCCTGGAGACATTGAGAGGGGCTGACCTCTACGGGATAGACAATGAAGTTGCTGCTAGACATCTGACAGCATGGCCGTTTTGCAGTTCTCCATTCTTTTTGTTTGTTTTTTTTGAAAGGAAGTCTCGCTGTGTCACCCAGGTTGGAGTGCTGTAGCGCAATCCTGACTCAGTACACATCTCCTGATTCAAGCAGTTCTCCCACCTCAGCCTCCGAGTAGCTGGGATTACAGGTGTGCACCACTACACCCAGCTAAGTTTTATATCTTTAGTAGAGAAGGGCTTTCACCATGTTGGCCAGACTGGTATCAAACTCCTCACCTCGTGATCCCACCTGCCTTGGCCTCTCAAAATGCTGGGATTACAGGCATGAGCCACCATGCCCGGTCACAGTTCTGCATTCCTAAAACTGCCCTCTGACTGCCTGCACGTAATTCTCTCCTGACTTGTTTTTCAGTAAATTCTCAGTTCATTTCTTACCAATCTCTAGGGGGATCTTCTCCCCCAGCCTTGGTTCCAATCCGTGCATCCCAGGATTCTTTCCCTGGCCTCTGGTCTCTCCCCACTCCTCACATTCCTCTTGGGCGTCTCATTAGTCCTAGGGATTTAACTTTCATCTCTGGGTGAATGACCCCACATCTGTATTCACAGCTCTAGCTCACTTGAGCTCCAGTAAAATTCATGTCTTCTCCACCTCAGCGGTGCACAGGCATTTCCAACTCAGTGGTTCCTAAATAGAGCAGCCAAAAGTCTTCTTCCATCCTCCCTGCCCCCCTCCCACATTGCTGTCCATCAGCATGGACACACACACACACACACACACACACACACACACTAGTGTGCACGCACTCTCTCACTCATCACAGTCAACTAACAACAAGAACAGCAGCAACAACATTAATGATCCTTTATGTGCCAGGTGCTGTGCTAAACTCTTTATAAGCATTTTTTATTTAATCTTCAAAAAATCTCTACAGGGTAGCTACTATAATTATGCTTATTTATGGTTGAGGAAATTGAGGGTTAAACAGATGAAATAACCAGTTTACTTTTACATAGCTAGTATTGCATGGAACCGGGACTTACACATCCACATCCTTTTTTTCTCATTAAAAAAAAAAAAAAAAGATTTTATTTTTTAGAGGAGATTTAAGTTCACAGAAAAACTGGAAGTATAGAGTGTTCTCATATACCTCCTGCCCTCCTCCAGCCTCCCCCACTATGAACACAAAATGGTACATATGTTACAATTGATGAACCTGCATTGACACATCATTGTCAATTCCGTAGTTGACATTAGGGTTCCCTTTGGGTGTTATAAATCCTATGGATTTTGACAAATGTATAATGACATGTATCTACCATTATAGTATCATAAGAATGGGTTCAGTGCCCTAAAAATCATCTGTGCTTCACCTGTTCATCCTCCATACCCCATGGCAATCACTTGTTTTTTTTTTGTTTGTTTGTTTTTAACTGGCTCTATCATGTCTTTTTGACATTTTAGAAATAAATTCTAAGCTCAGATGTTCAGTTATCATTGAATAGCTATAAGGAATAGGTGGAGTTCCCATATCCATGAATCATGTTTAATTCTTAAGAATTGGGTTAGTGGATTCTAGTTTCTGTCACCATGTTTTCTGTCCTTTCTGGGAACCCGCTTGGCTATTTGCACTGTGTGTGGGGGACATGTACTTAAGATAGAGTACAAATATGTTGTTGTTCCCACTTCCTGTCCTGATAGCTTTGGAAGAATTCTGGTTTTTTTCCTTCACAGCCTGGCTTTGTAATTCTGTGTAGACCAACTATTAGTTTGATCCAATATCCCTGCCATTAGCTGTCAGACCACCTTTGAAGAGAGCGCGGCATGAGGCCGTCTATGTCCCAGCTTCTTTGTGGTATTCAGGACAACCTAAAGCTTGTGATGAAGGACTTTGAAGGCCCTTTTTAGAGATTCCACCAGCACTGATTGGTTAAGTAGCTTCATCATATTGTTCCCTGGTTCACTGGAGTGATTCATCTTTAAAGGAATCCAGGAACTGCCTTTCATTATATCCATGTCTTAGAAAAACCTCATACCATACTGTTGCAAATATAGTTGAGAGTATCTCTAATCCAGACATCTGAAATCTGCTCTCTCTCTCTCTCTCTTCCTCCCCCAGAAGCCCCATGTGCCACTCCTCTGATCTGCAGCTTCGGGAGGCCAGTGGACCTGGAGAAGGATGACTACCAGAAGGTGGTGTGCAACAATGAGCACTGCCCCTGCAGCACCTGGATGCACCTGCAGTGCTTCTACGAGTGGGAGAGCAGCATCCTCGTTCAGTTCAACTGCATCGGCCGTGCACGCAGCTGGAACGAGAAGCAGTGCCGCCAGAACATGTGGACAAAGAAGGGCTACGACCTGGCCTTCCGCTTCTGCTCTTGTCGCTGTGGCCAGGGCCATTTGAAGAAGGACACAGACTGGTACCAGGTGAAGCGGATGCAGGATGAGAAAAAGAAGAAGTCTGGCTCTGAGAAGAACACAGGGCGGCCTCCTGGTGAGGCAGCAGAGGAGGCAAAAAAGTGCAGGCCCCCAAATAAGCCCCAGAAAGGACCGAGCCACGACCTTCCCCGCCGGCATTCCATGGACCGGCAGAACTCCCAGGAGAAGGCAGTGGGTGCCTCGGCCTATGGTGCCCGCTCCCCTGGTGGCTCCCCAGGCCAGTCACCACCCACAGGCTACTCCATCCTCTCTCCTGCCCACTTCAGCGGCCCCCGCTCCTCCAGATACCTCGGGGAGTTCTTAAAGAACGCCATCCATCTGGAGCCTCACAAGAAGGCCATGGCTGGGGGCCATGTGTTCAGAAATGCCCACTTTGATTACAGCCCCTCGGGGTTGTCAGTTCACAGGGGGGGACACTTTGACACCCCTGTGCAGTTCCTACGGCGGCTGGACCTCTCCGAGCTCCTCACTCACATCCCTAGGCATAAGCTGAACACTTTCCACGTGCGCATGGAAGACGACGCCCAAGTGGGCCAAGGGGAGGACCTGCGGAAGTTCATTCTGGCCGCGCTCAGTGCCAGCCACAGAAATGTGGTAAACTGTGCCCTGTGCCACCGGGCACTCCCAGTGTTTGAACAGTTCCCACTGGTGGACGGAACTCTGTTCCTAAGCCCCTCGAGACACGATGAGATTGAATATGATGTTCCTTGTCACCTTCAAGGTATAGGTGTTACTTCACCTTGCCTGCTTTCCGTTTGTGAAAACCAAACAGCAAACAAGATGGATTGCTTTATTTGGCTTAGTTTTCACCAATGTTGTTTTTTTGTTCTAGTCAGGTGCTAGGTAACATTTGAATATTTCACCTTTGCCCAGTGAGGTGGTGATTTTTACTCTGATGTTGCTGTGCCAAGTACCATTGTCCTAGTGAATAATTTGTGTGCTTGTTCTGCTGTAATTTGAAGAGAGGATTGCTGGTGTATCGTTTTGCATAATGGGGAAGGAAATTAGAGGAGTTGTTGCATATTTGTCACTTAACTGTAAACCTGTTTAATGGGCCCAGCTGGCTGTGTATTCTTTTTGATCCTTATAAACATAACAATGAGGAAAAGCAGGGGTCAGAAGGGGCCAAGGTATTTTAGATTAGTTGAGTTAATTTTGAAGTTTATGAAAGATGAGACTGTCTTGATAGCAGCAAAAGGAAAACAGGATTATTGAAAGCTCAAGACGTTAGCCTGGTGGTGGTGGTGGAAGGCAGGACGGTGGGCTGTAAGGACTTGGTACATTTCAGCCATAAATTGAATGACAGGAGGTTGGTTCGTATAGGTGAGAAATCTGTCAGCTCATGTGCAACTACTGAACTTCCATGAAGATGAGACACATCACATATAACATGTTTATACTTTAAATGTGTGCTAAAAAGCTTGTTGTAAAAATGATATATCCCCACCTGTCTCCTTCCCACCAACCCTGCTGTGTCAGTACCCAAACATTTCAAATCTTAGCCGATGTTTCATGTTTTTAACATCATTGTTGTAAATACTGCTGTCTTTATTCTCCAGTTTTACATGTTGTCTGTTTTTTGACTGGCTTTGAAGATGGATGACTGTGCATCCCCCTTCTTCTCAGGATGAGATATCACAATTCTTGGTTAAATCCTTAATGTTTACTATTGTGAATACATATTAATATTGAACCAAGAAGTATAGGTTTTTTTCTTGTTAAATAGAACAATATATCCTAGAACACCTTTTGTTTTTATTAGGGTTAATTGATTATTGTTTTCATTTGCATAGTTTTTTTTTTTTTTTAAACTTTGGCTAGTTGTTCTGACTCTCCAGCAGCTTTACAAACCAGCTTTTAAAAAGATGGCAGTGGCTCACGCCTGTAATCCCAACACTTTGGGAGGCTGAGGCAGGCAGATCACCCGAGGTCAGGAGTTCGAGACCAGCCTGGACAACATGTTGAAACCTCGTCTGTACTAAAATCACACAAAAAATTCACCAGGCTGGTGGCGGGCACCTGCAATCCTGGCTACTTGGGAGGCTGAGGCAGGAGAATCACTGTAAACCCGGGAGGCAGAGGTTGTAGTGAGTCGAGATCATGCCATTGCACTACAGCCTGGGCAACAGAGTGAGACTTCGTCTCAAACACACACACACACTCTCACACTCTCTCTCTCTCTCTCTCTCCCACATACCTGTCAGATTTTTTTTGGAAAAAATATTTTTCCCCTGAAAATGTCTCTTATAGAGACTCTTAACCTCCTGCTTCTACCTGTCCTGGTGCACCACATAGCTGTCCTAGTAATGCCTTCATTTCTGTCGTATTTTTAAAAATCTTTTTTCCTAGATCTCATATTTTATTTTTTCTTAGTTTATTCTCTCAGTTTTTAGGAAACATCCCCCAGGAGCTTTTTGAGAAAGGGAGCATGGGAATAGATGATTTGAGACTTTGAACGTCTGAGAATATCTTGATTTTATCTTCACACTCCATTGCTGTTTAGCTGGGTCTGGTCTTCTAAGTTATACATATTTCCCCTTGGCGTTTCGAAGGCATTTCTTTACTGTCTCCTATCTTACAATGCCTCTATTTTGAGATGTCTGATACTACTCGTATTCTTGTCTTTGCCTCCACCTCCACCCCTCCATGAAGGTTTTAAGATTTTTTTCATATATCCCTAATGTTCTGAAATTTCACCATGATGTGGCCTTTTACACAGTTTTCTCTATTTGTTATGTGTTCTGTACTCTTTTGGCTCTTTGGCTCTATAAACTTGCCATCTTCCATTTGGAGACGGAGTCTTGCTCTGTCACCAGGCTGGAGTGCAGTGGCTCAATCTCGGTTCACTGCAACCTCTGCCTCCCAAGTTCAAGCAATTCTCCTGCCTCAGCCTCGCTGAGTAGCTGGGATTACAGGCATGCACCACCACGCCCAGCTAATTTTTGTATTTTTAGTAGAGTTGGGGTTTCACCATATTGGCCAGGATGGTCTCGATTTCTTGGCCTTGTGATCTGCCTGCCTAGGCCTCCCAAAGTGCTGGGATTATAGGCATGAGCCACCACTCCTGGCCAGAAATTTGCTTTTGTGTTATTTCTTTGATAATTTCCTCCACCCTATTTTCACTTTTAAAAAAGTCTGTCAAACTCTTATTAATCAGATATTAGACCTCTTAGATTATTTTTTTGTCGGAGTAGAGAACTCCTTTATTTTATATATAATAAAGGATATCTAATAAATATATACATGGACCTTTTCATCTTTATATTTTTATTCTGCTTTATGGAAAATTTCCTTGACTTTTTATTCTGGTGTTTTTACAGAGTTTAAAGTTTTCTGTTCTTACATTTTTAATTTACAAGAGCTCTTCTTAATAGCATTATTTTCTTGTTTCATGTATGTAATTTGTGCTACCTTTCTGGGCAAGGAAAGGGAGCTGAAATTTCAGAGAGTAGTCTCATTCATTTTGAGAATTGTACCTAACTCTCTATAAGCATTTGTTATAAAGGAGAGCATCCCCAAACTTAGTGATTTAAAAGGATAATTTAATGACTTTTCACAATTCTATGGGTAAATTGATTAGGACGGTTAGGTTGGCTTAGGGGACCTCAGCCAGAATGGCTTGTCTGTGTTCTTTCACCTTCTTATAGGCTAGCTTGGGCTTTTTCACGTGGTGCTCTCAGGATAGCATTTAAGAGATGTGAGTGGAAGCTGCAGAGTCTCTATCTAGAGGCTTAAGTTTGAAACTGACTAACATCACTCTTATCACATTTTGTTCATTAGCATAAGTCCGAAGACTAGCCCAGATTCAGATGATGCTGAAATACTCTGCTTTTTGATGGAAAGTGTTGTATAGAATTTATGATGGTTTGAAATTTATTGCTCCCTATGATCTCCCTTTCCACCCTCCCCAGTGCTTGTCCAGTTTCAGAGCTTAACCATTTACTATTCCTCAGTCTGCTTTCTGACCTCATATAATTTGATTCAGGGTTGAAATAACCTCATTGTTTCATGGAAGATGAAGGACATTTTTTTTTTTTTCTGTTTAGGGGTACTTTTAGAGGGAAGTGGATGGAAACACCTTTATTTCTCCATTGTAAAACTTGAAACATTTTTTATGAAGATAATATGGGTACATCATATATGAGAATAGTAGTGTTCTTTTTCTATCCATGATGGACAGATTCTTTTCCTGTAATCAGTTGATCAAACTTACAGATTTTACACATGCTGAGTACTATCAGTTCTTGCCTGTCATCAGTTTATAATCTTAGGATAAGATGCTTTTATAAAATGTAACTAACCAGGCTTAAGGTTCTAGTATCACACCTGGATATGATGTATGTTAAGTATCATGTAATTTCCAGAGAAAGGGACCACTTTGTCTTGGTTCATAAAAAGAGGCAGCATGAAGGCTGATGTTAAAAGGTCAGCTGGATCTTGGTAAGCAGAGGGTCTACCCAGGTCAGGTGTTTGTTGAAGAGGAGGTAGTGCCTGCAAGCAAAGGAAGGATGGTTAAAAAGAAAAAGAATGGCAGGTTGTGATCAGGAGATAGGGAGAGGACTGTTTGTTTGGAGACGAGGGTGTTCTAGAGGGGGAAAGGAGTAGGATAGGGAGAGAACAGATAGCAGAAGTACTTTCAAGCCATAATAAAGAGCTTTGCTACATGTTCTTCATGAATGTGAATGGAAAGATTTTCAACCTTTTTTTTAAAGCAGGCAATCACATGGAGGAAAGGGGTTTGAAAGGGGTGGGATCTGGAGACAAAGTTGAGACTTTACAGTCTGTAGTCTAGATGGAAGGAGAAAAGAATGCTAAGGTGGAGACAGAATGGAAGGGAGGGGATATCGTCAAGAGGTTATTTCAAAGAAAAACTACAGCTTGTGAATTTAGAAACAAAATTCATTTTATTTCTAGACCAGATAAATGGTGCAAGAAAGGAGACGGGTAGATAAAGGTGGGGAAAGGAAGGGCCTGACTTTAGGGGACAGAAGATGAGGTTCGTATGTGTTGGGTTTGAAGGGATGTTGAGACTTGTGTGGAGATGTCTAGAAAACACAGTTAAAAATAAGCATTTGGGTTGAACGCTGAGGAGTTTATAACAGTGGTGGTTAAAATCCTAAGGGTGAAAGAGCTCTTGGATATGAAGAAAAGAGAAAGAAAAGGAAGGAGGATATGATAAACCTATGAGTAAATCTTGAGGGTACCGTTCAGGGAGCAGATGGAGAAAGGGGTGAAAATTAGGCCTAAGTACTTGAGTGTGTGTGTATACACATCAAAACATAGACATATAAATAGATAATGCATGCATTAGATGTGCACCAGAAAGATACTGATAAGTTGAGTGTTTGATATAAAACCTGAAGATCAGGGTGTTTAATCATTACAGAGAAGTCATCGTTGCCACAAGTGAGACCTTGACCACATATCAGCATTTTTATTGCCATATCTTTGAGTAATCCATGCCACCTTATTTGTAGTAAGAAAGTGTAAATCATGTCTTTAATCACCAATTACTGATCATGCATTCTTCTATTTTTCTTTTCTTTTTTCTTTCCCTTTATTTATGTTTATTTTTGAGTATCTCGCTCTGTTACCCTGGCTGGAAAGCAGCGGAGTGATCATAGCTCACCTCAGCCTTGGACTGCTGAGATCAAGCAGTCCTCCTGCCCCAGCTTTTCCAGTAGCTAGGAATACAGGCTCAAGTCACCACTCGGCTTATTTTTTTCAAACATTTTAAAGAGATGGGGTCTCACTGTATTACCCAGACTGGTCTTGAACTCCTGGCCTCAAACAGTCATCCCATTTCAGCCTCTCAAAGTGCTGGGATTATAGGCATGAGCCACTGTGCTTAGCCTGGCCATGTGTTTTTTAAAGTATTTTCAACTCTAATAGAAGGGCCACACTACAGGCCATAGGATTGCACAGCAGGCAGGCTGATCTGCTGCTGCAGTACTTGCTGTATTCAGTGGCCCTCTCTGGAATATTACTCCCTCGCCCTGCCCTTACCCCTCACTGCCCTCTCCAGACTCTGTCTCTGGACTCTGTTTGCTCTCGTTTTCCTCTGAAAATAGTTTTGTTTAGCTTTAATAATTTATTAAGATTGATCTAATTAGGAAGTTCTTATTGGGCTTCTTTACCACTTTGAATCACATGTGATTGTTCTCCCAGGAATCGATTTTTTGTTTAAATTCACAAAGGGTTTAGAAATTCAGAATTCTCTGTGCTCAGGACAATGTGTAGTGGAACTGAAACAAATCTAGACTCAGTCCAGACCAGGTGTTCCAGTGAGTTTGCCTGTAAGTTATGGATCAAAGAGACATGAATCAGTCTGGACTTGCTACTTAAACTTGGGCAAGCTGCTCTGCTCTCTAAATCTCACTTCCTACTATCAGAAGTGGGAGCAACAGTAATGCCTATTTTATAATGTTGCTGTTAGGGTTAAATGAAGTGATTCACATGGAGCTGGTAGCATAGTGCCATACCCTTGGTTAACCCTTGTAAAAGTTACTCTGTCTTCATCATTGTGGTCATTGTTAGCAACGCATGACTTTTGTGTCTATGGCTGCTGGTACCCGTCTCAGCTGTGGCCTCTGTACCTGTGAATGTTTGGGAATTGCACTGAGTAAGCAGGATGGGGAATGCAACTCAAGTTTTTTCCAGTGGCTCCTGGATCTTTGAACGGACTTCCTGACATGCCCCAAGGCCCCAGTAGATGTGGCATGTGAGACCCTTTTATTTTCAGTGCCCTAGAGCAGAGGTGGGCAGGCAGTATTTCAAGAAGCTTGTTGTCATCCTTCCCCTTTTTGCTATAAAGGCCGCCAAAGTTATGCTGTCTTTGGCTGTTAACATGCCCCATCCATTTACACTTATAAAATGCTTCCCACATCCCAGACAGTGTGCTAGTCAGCTCATCTACAAGGATGAATGAGACATGGTTCTTGCCCTCAAGGAGGAAGAGGGTCATACAAGCAAATGCAAATGAAGGGCTCCCCTAAGTGCTATAGATAGAACATAAGCCCTTCCATCGGGTAGGGAGCAGGTTGGCCCTTATCACTGAGCGCTGAAGACCCATAGGCTGACTTATGGCAGTGAGCAGCACATTCTGAATAGAAGGCTACTTAGGATTATGTGTTCTCCTGATGGTAGTTTTTAATATTTGGGGGGGAAACCCTGGGTCCCACATACAGCAGAAATGTTGCTGTTGTATATGTTTCCTGGGGAGATTATGGACATTTTGACTCTTTAGTTATTTGAACTGTGATGCTTCCATATACACTAGACATCTTTCCTTTATAAACATTAAGATGTTATCAAATAACGGAGGGGAATCGTGTTGTAACTTTTAAGGGCCCAGTGAATAAGAAGACGTTGAACTTCTTTTAAAAAGTTACTTACAAGTGAAATACAATTCTGTTTCCCAAATTAGATGTGGTGATGGCTGAACATTTTGAGAACAAGGACAGTTAACATGGTAATTTTGGTTGTGGTATAATTCTGGGCTATCCATCCCCAAGACAGATTTTTGACTTTTTATGTTGGGACTTGTCGGGGTGAGAGAGCTTGTGACAAGACCAATGTTGTTGGTTAAGTCTCCATATGCTAAACATAAACTTTGATCGGGAAGTCCTGCATGAATACAATAGAGGCTGGTTTTGAGTATATGTGACTTTGCTATTTGAATTTGGATGGCCTATAATTATAATGTAAACCCAGCAGCACTTTTTGGAAAAGTGAATTGAAGCCAAGTTTTTAATATTCTTGAACTTAAAATACATGTTTTATTGGCAATAGTTATTCATCATTATCCTGAAAGGACAGCTTGTGTACTAAATATTGATTTTTCTTTTTATATTTATCCAAATGATAAAATGTTTGCTTATAATTGGTAGATGAAACACTTTTTATCCCCTTGGAGATGAAACATGATTTCCATGATGGCCACTCTGAGCCTTGTGTCTTCTGTGCACAGGGAGACTCATGCACCTGTATGCGGTGTGCGTGGACTGCCTGGAGGGGGTTCACAAGATCATCTGCATCAAGTGTAAGTCGCGGTGGGATGGCAGCTGGCACCAGCTGGGCACTATGTACACCTACGATATCCTGGCTGCCTCTCCATGTTGTCAGGTAGGTATTGAACACACTGAGAGAGCAGTGGGTGATATTAGGCCTCTGTCCCCAAGTGAATGTAGGGAAGATGCTTCCAATAATAAAGAAGAAATTCAGTCCAGCAATGATGGCTGAGTTACCACTTGTAATGTAGTCATTCAGTGGAATATTATGCAGTCATTAAAAGGGATAGTATAGAATAATACATAATTATGTGGGAAGCATTTCTAGTATATTAGGTCAAAAGAACACTTATAAAATGGCACAATAATATGCTTGTGTTTGTAAATAAGTGAGCATGAAAAGTGAACTACTAACCTGTTACCAGATGGTCTCAGTGGTGGGAGGCTGAATAGTTCCTTTAGTTTTCTTTTTGCTTGCGTATATTTTCTTTTTCTTTTTCTTTTT